GTGGAGCTTGCAGGCAGGAGAGATCACACCACTGCCCTGTCTCAGAATAAAAAAAAAAATTAAAGAAACCCTGAACTCAGTAGCAGACACTCCCTGTTCCTCCTAGCAGCCCCACCCCACCTCCAGGGTGACAATTTGTGTGCCCTTGTTTCCCCCCAGGTCTCAGAAACAGGGTTCACAGGGAGTTGAGGAAGAGGAGGGGTCTCTAACAACACATGGCGACTCCTCAGCAGCTCCCCCTCTGGGTCTGCAAGGAACAAATCCAAACCCAAAGACACCAGGTCCCAGAAGCCTTTGGCTCTTTCACCAGATGAGCTGGGTGGGGACACAGAATATGGCATGGGAGACCAGGGCACAGACAGGGTGGGTAGAGACTCTGGCTGCTCCAGGCATAGCCAAGATAGCACCTCAGCTTCCTTCCCTGAAATCCATAAAGGGTGGATTTTACTTTTTATTTTTTGAGACACAGTCTCAATCCATCTCTTAGGCTGAAGGGCAGTGATGCAATGTCAGCTCACTGCAACCTCCGCCTTTCAGGTTCAAGTGATTCTCCAGCCTCAGCCTCCCACGTAGCTGTGATTCCAGGTGCACACCACCATGTCCAGCTAATTTTTGTATTTTTAGTAACGACAGGGTTTCACCTTGTTGGCCAGGCTGGTCTTGAACTCCTGAGCTCTGGTGATCCTCCCACTTCTGCCTTCCAAAGTGCTGGGATTACAGCTGTGAGCCACCACACCAGGCCCCGTGAAGGGTGACTCTTCCCTGACTGCTGGGTTAGACTGGCATGGACTCGAGTATTAGGGCTTGCAGGAAATGCCCCACTCCTTGCTTCTCTGCCTTGATCCTAGAGTTCTGGGATGCCCCTGTCCCCTAGGGCCTGGCACCCCCACCCTGTTCAACCCTGCCACCTAAATCTGCTGTTTAGGCTGCCATCACACCTGTCTCTGCCCTGTTGCTCTCCCTGGGGAACTCACACCTCTGTACATTCTACCATGGTCCTGATGAGCTCCCAGAGGAGACCCAGGAGCATGGCGCAGGTCTGCAGCATCCACAGCCTGAGGTCCGTGACCACCTGCATGAGGAGGAGGTGGTGCTCAGCGAGGCCGACATGCTGCTTCCCTGGGGAGCCAGGACCCTGCTGAGCTTTAACTGCCCCCTGGGCTCCCCACAGTTGGGACAGCATGGAGCAGGGTGCTGGAGGAACTAGAAGCACCTGATCATTCCGGCTGTGTCCCGTGTGCAGTTTCCCTGTGGTTTCGCCAATAAGCTGAGCTCCTGGAGGTGAAGGGAGGTGCAGGGTCACAGTCTATATGCCCACAGGGCTCAACCCTTTCAGCATACAGACTGTGCCAACATCAGCCCTGTCAACCTCCCTCCCTACCCCAGGGCTCTGGGTCCTGCCCAAATCTCTCACCATTTCTGCTGAGGCTTTTTGAAAAAAAGAATTTTTTGAAGTTATAGAGTCTCACTGTATTGCCCAAGTTGGTCTTGAACTCTTGGCCTCAAGTGAACCTCCCACCTCAGCCTCCCAAAATGCTAGGATTATAGGCATGAGCCACTGCTTCTGGCCCATGTCCTGAGGTCTCCGCTGCTGTCTGCCAATGGCAAAGTAAACAAAATGATGGTGCTAATGCTCAAAGTGGCCCAGGGCCAGGTGGAGAAGGGAGTTCAGGAAAGTGATGGGGCTGCAGGGGTCTTACCTTCAGGTGGCGCTCATTGGCTGTCCTCATCATTGGGGTTGAGTCTGAAGGTGCCCTGGGCCCACACCTTAGTCACCTATAGCAGGGTGGCAGCAACACTGGGGGTCAGGTGAACAGGTATCAGCACAGGAGAGCCCCTGCCCTGGTCCCACCCTATCTCTCATGGCTATCACTGTCCAGTAGCTGAGTCCTGGAAGCCCACCCTGGGAGGGGGCATCTTGGGCCCAGCACGCCTTCACCCATGAGCCACGGGGGCCACAGCATCATTAAAGGATGGAGAGAGATGGTCATCAAGGCATACAGGTAAGCAGGATTAGGATATATAATTAGTTCAATGTGAAACCACAGACAGGCAACACTGCTATTTGCCTGGGGGCACATGAAGGGGCCTCAGGCGGGGCTTGGGCCACGGGAGTACCTCATAACCTGCCTGTTCCTTGAGCATGATGTGTACCAAGGGGAGATGGAGTGAGGGCAGCACCGCGGGGAAGGGACAGGATTGCCACCCTGAGCTGTGTGACCTCAGACCAGACCCCTCTTCTCCAAGTGAGGCCAAACAGGTGATTTTGGGAGCCAGTGCCTGACAGCCTTGATTTTAGCTTCATCGGTGGATGGGAACCTGTGAGGGTTTAGAGATGCTGGGAGAAACTTTTCCTGGGAGAGCTTTCCAAACAGAGCCACGCTAGGCCCCATTGAGAAATGATCCTACCGGAAGCCTTCACCACTGTCTCCACGCTGGTGGTGATGGTGTCATGGATGTAGGTGGTGGGTGTTGTGTACAGAAGCACAGACCGCTGCAGTCCTGCAGAGTTGAAGAAGTCAAAGTCTGTATTCTGGACAAACAACTAACTTTTGGATATCTAGGGTGGGAGAATTGTGGTTCGCTGGGTCCTTGCCCTGGGTCCTTTGACCTCAGCTGGAATGTCTCCACAGCCTCGCCAGATCCAGGGCCTCCAATCTTCAAAGGCCACCCTATCCCTAGCAGGAAGACCACGGGGTGGAGTGGGAAGGTGGGTACAGGCAGTAGAGACAGGATGGTATCCACTTGGAGGTGTCAGTCATGTAGTGCATGGTCCCTGGTGGCAGGGGGAAGGGGGTGAGTGTGTTGTTGATGGTGATAATAACATGGAGGTGAGAGGGCAGGGTCCCCACCTGGACCAGGCTGCTGATGTTGACCTTGAAGGGGAGATAGCCCTCCTCATGCTCTAGCACATCGACCCCGTCCACCCACTGCAGACACAGGAAATATGGGGAGGAGGTGGCAGATCAGGGCATGAGGAGGGGCCCTGCTATGGGGCACTCCCTCACATAACCTGCAGCAGGGGGGCTCAGAGGCCTGCCAGCCACATGGGAAGAATGGCCTCCCAAAGGGGTAGATCAGACCACCTATCCCTCTACACAGGGCACAGCCCCCAGGACAGGGCAGAGCAAGGCCCCCACCGTCCCACCCCAGGAGACAAGCTGTGGCTGGCAACAGGAGGTCCCATGTTGTTCAGCAACAATGCCCACCCACCTGCCCTACCTGCTCCTGGCTGCACTGACCAGGATGGCATAGGAGTGGGCACTGCCAATCCTCAGCACCCCTCTTGTGTGCAGGTCCTGGGTCCACCACTCCAGCAGGGCCACCTCCAGTTCACACCACACCCAGCCGACAGAATGCCACAGTCGCCAGTCCCAGTCAATGTCGTTGAAGCTGAAGGGAACCAGCATGCCCAGGGTGGGGCCCGTCTGCACAGAGAAGGCCTGGGCTCAGCTTCTAGGCCCCCAAAGGGATCCAAAAACAGCGTGCTTCTCAGTTGTGTCCCCAAGCCTAGTAGAAGCCCTGATACATAGAGAACTCTTGGCGGAACATACAGATAATTTGCAGGTGACAGGTCAACTGCCAGGGTGGTTTGTGCACCTGGGCCAGTGGGGCCAGGAATTCCTCCTCGGAGTGGATGGGGCCCAGTATCTCTGGAGACAGGGGTGAGCCCAGGGCCACATCCCAGACCCAGGCAAGAAGGTTCAGACCCATGACTAAGAGGCAGATGACCCACTGCCTGTCAGGGAGGAAGGCTGGTTGGGGGATGGGGGGGCTTTGCTTAGCACACTGTGAGTGGGGCTCTGCTGGCACCCAGCCCTCTCCTTTCTTCCTCCTATACTGAATGCCACAAAGTTAGAGAAAGAGGATGAAGAGAAGGCAAAAGTGGCCCAGACATCAGCCCCACATCTCTTCTGACCACATCCAAGTCAGGAGGGGAACAGGGTTGGCGTCCTTGACCTGATATCACATCCTGTCCTCTATCTGAACCTTGGAAACCAAGGTACTCTCCTGCCTCAGTAGAGCTGACCTCAGGATGACTAAACTGTCTCCTCCTCTCGGATCCCCCAACCCAGCTCTGTGCAGTGCATGCCGCTCTGGTCAGCTGAATGTTTGAGTGGCTCATACCTGTAATCAGTGCTTTGGGAGATCAATGTAAGAAATAAGAGGATGGCTTGAGGCCCAGAGTTCGGGACCAGCCTGGGCAAGGTAGTGAGACCCTATATTAAAAAAAAAAAAAAAAAACGAGGAAGGGGGGGGGGGTGGGGGTGGGGGGGTGTGTGTGTGTGTGGTTTGTTTTTAATTAGCCAGGCATGCGGGACCCAGCTAACTTGCAAAGCTTGCTAGAAGATAGCTTGGACTCTGAAGATAGGACTGAGCCACTGCACTTCAGCCGGGCGACAGTGCTAAATATAGTCTCAAAAAA